ACAAGCGTTTTCGAATTTGGATACTTGGAAAATGCGGACAATATTTTAGTGATTTTTCACCAAATTTATTTACAGCTTTAGCAGTAAAGAATGATGATTTATGGCACAGAAGGTTAGGACACTGCTGTGATCAAAAATTAAAACTAATGAATCTTTCTGCAAAAGAATCCTTTTGTGAAGTATGTGTTCGTGCCAAACAAAGTGCTTTGCCTATAGGAAAGGGGTCCTCGCATAAAAGAATCCAAACCGCTTATAACTATACACACTGATATATGTGGTCCAATAGAACCTCAAACACTCCATGGGCAAAAGGTATTTCATGACTATAATTGATGACTACTCGAGATTTATGGAAATCAAGACTGCTCAAAAGAAAAAGTGACATTGCTTGATGAACTTCAAACTATTCTTTAAATTGAATCCAACTGTTCACAAAACTGCGCTGTGACAATGCCGAAAGAATATGTCAGTGGAGAACTTTGCATGAAGTTGCTAAAAGAGCAGGTGTAAAAATAGATCCTGCACCTCCCTATACACCTTTTTCTAAATGGTGTTGCTGAAACGAGCAAATAGAACTGTACTGAAAAAAGCTAGAGCAATGATATTTGAGGCAAATTTACCAAAATTCCTTTGGGGGTGAAGCAGTACTTACGGCCTGCTTATATAAATAATCGATTCCCAAATAGTTCAATTGAACAATCGTGTTCCTTATTTTCTGAAGTATGGCAAAAATCCTGATTTGAACAAACATGCGTGTATTTTGGCTGTGATGCTTATACTCTTAGTGCCACCATCGCAAAGAAAGAAACTAGATGAAAAATCTGTCAGAATGATATTTGTAGGTTATTTCACAATGGGATATCGTTTAATGATTCCAGAAACAAGACGCATCATTGTTTCCAGAAGTGTTAAATTTAACGAAGAAAAGAAGAAAGTAGAAAATCAAAAATATATTTCCGATAGTTCTGATTTGAGTGAAAATGACAATGATGACATTAAAAATGAAGACAAATCAATTTCAGACACTGATAACGGCGAATTAAATGCTGCAAATTAGAAGGAGGAACAAAGAAAATCTTCAAGAGAAAAGAAACAGCCAGTAATGTTTGCACAAGACACTCTGACATTTGAAGATATTGTAAATCTACCACAAGTACAACAAGAACCATGGAAAAGAGCTATGGACGAGGAAATGAAATCTATGGAAGATAACGACGTCTGGGATCTACAAAGTTTACCCCTGATAAAAGAGCTATTTCCTGCAAATGTGTTCTAAGTAAAAAACGAGATGGAACTTACAAAGCGAGGCTTGTTGCTCGTGGCTTTATGCATAAGGAAGGCATAGATTATACAGAAACGTATTCTCTAGTGATTAGTATGTGCTCTTTACGTTTCATGCTGGTAATTATTAATAATGAAGGTTTGCAAACGTTTTACTTTAGATGTTAAGACAGCTTTCTTGAACGGTAAGTTAGATGAAACCATCTACATGGACCAGCCAAAAGGATATGATGATATGAGTGGTAAGAAATGTAAACTTAAAAAGAAAGTTTATATGTCTTAAACAGTCTCCTTGACAATGGTATCAGAAATTTCTTAATTTTGTTATTAAATTAGATTTTAAGCAATTGGACTCTGTCTGAACCATGTATTTTCATCAGAAATTTAAATTGTAAGAAAGTTATTATGGCTCTTTATGTAGATGACTTAATAATGATAATTGCAGGTTCAAATGTAAAAGAAACAAATATTATAATATCATTGTTGTCTAGTGAATTTCAAATGTCAAAATCTGAAATTGTCTCAGAATTTTTGGGTATTAGACTGAAATTTGAGTCTGGTTGTTTATATTTAGATCAGAAACCATATATTGAAAAATTACTTGATAAATTTAAAATGTATGATTGTAAAACAGCCCAAACTGCCATTGAACCAAAATCTACAGCAGCTGATTTTCAAAAAGGAAGTGCATTTCATGGTCCATACAAAGAATTAATTGGATCTTTACTTTACTTAGCATATATCACAAGGCCAGATATTGTGTTTGCAGTAAATTGCTTAAGCCAACTGCAGGAGCATCCTACTGATGTTGCCTGGTGTGCTCTAAAAAGAATTCTTAGGTACTTGAAAAACACCTTAAATTTAAAATTGATATACAAAAGGGAAAATTTGGAAAGGGCAAACTTGTGTTTGTATGTAGATGCAGATTGGGGGGGGGGGGGATACTCAAGATAGGAAATCAATTACTGGTTACTTTATAATGTTTTCAAACTGTCCTATTATGTGTTGCTGTAACAAACAAAAGTGTATTGCACTTTCATCAACAGAAGCTGAAATAATTGCTTTATGTAAAGGATATTCAAGATGTTTTATGGATAAAAAAAATGTAGTAAATAAAATTTCCAGTGTTAAAAATGTTTATATGTTTTGAGGATAACCAGTCATGTATCAAAAGTATTGGTTCAATGAAAACTTTTCAGGTAGGTTGAAACATATAGATATAAAATTAAAGTTCACTCGTAAGACTGTTAAGGAAAATAATATTAGAATTGAATATGTACAATCAGGTTTACAAATTGCAGATATGTTAAATAAGGCTTTGTACAAAACAAAATTCTATGAACTGTTATCATTGAGCTGTTTAAAAAACTGTGTAATTCTTTTATGTTTTGTATAATGTGCGATTAAAGGGGAGTGTTGAGATATTTGTAATCGCATTCTTACTGGTTAAAAGGAAGTATAGCTTTCTGTCACGTCCGATACATTCATTAGCTTTCAGCCAGGTCCGAGTTATTCTGAAACTTAAATCTCATTCTGTATGTTACTTTTGATTGGTTATTTATTGTGTCTTGTTTATGATTTGTTAAACCATGATCTGTTATAAAGTTATATATATGACCTCTGTAACCGCTTATGGCGGCTAGTGCTTGTATTTACTTATTTCTGCTTGCATGTAACTCTGCGTGTATCTCTGCATATCTCAGTAATAAATATTTGCTTTGCGAACCACGGCATTTTCTATGTTTAACAAAGACAGAATGAAAATGGTGAAAACGTTCCAAGTGACAGGAGTCGATCCGGCCCAGTTTTCTTGAAAGAGAATTTAAAAGCTTGGATAGTAATTATCACGAGTGCAGTTTTTATGGCTGTTTACCTTGAATTAATCACTTCCTTGAACACCAACACCTTTATAGATGCGTTTAGACGTTTTATTTCACGAAGAGGTCGAGGTGAAGTCATGTACTCGGACAAAGGTTCGATTTTCACTGCTTTAAATAGAGCTATGAATCAGCTGGATTGATGATTCACAGCCCTATTAAAACCTATTAAACTATCGAACACAAATATACCTTAATGATAATAGCGTCATGGTGGGGAGTATTTTGGGAGAGCTTAATAAGAATTTTAAAGGACCTTCGAAAAAATTTGAGACACGCTTTTTTAGGATATGAAGAGTTATTAACCCTTCTGTGTGACGGTGAAAATTTAATGAACAACAGACCTTTGACTTACTTGTCCTAGGAAGGTGGTGATTTGACACCTTTAAAACTCTCTGTGTTCTTACAAAGCTTAACTGCTTGCAATTTGTATGATATTGATGAAATCCATTCTCTGAGTAATAGAAAAAGGGAAATAATATTTACAACAAGTTAAAGAAGGACTGGATTAAAAGGGATTCAGAAGAGATTTTTTTCGTGGTGTCTGTATGTACGTATGTATGTATGTATCTCGCATAACTGAAAAGAAGTAGCCTCAGAACGTTGAAATTTTGTATAAAGGACTGCTATAACATGTAGTTGTGCACCTCCCTTTTCAGTTGCAATCTGTTGCATCAAAAGTATATAAATATAATATAAATATTTATGTAATAAAACTTCTCTAGATGTAATAAAATTGCTCCATTATAGTGATATGACTGACTAGGTGGAAAGTAAGTCGCAACGGATTGGCGTTGGAGAGGACTGCATAGTTAAAGACTGCGTAGTTAGCAAAATGACACTCGAGGAACACACATTGCGGTAATTCTACGCATAATTTTATTTCCTGGATAATGCACATTATCACTGTGGGTGCGCTGTGCACACCACAATTTTATTTAGTTTACGTCTTAAACAATGGACAAATTTAGAAAAGTAAACTTTGAGTGGTTAGCGACAAAGCGGAAAGCAGCAGAAGAGACGAGCGAAGAGAAAAAGAGGAAGTAGCGACGTAATTTAAGCTTTTATACGAATTCCATTTCAGATCACATAACAGTTTAATGTACAAACATTGAGTTCAGACTTCATAGATATGTGCGCAATACTAACTAGATGACGATCTTTTTCGTTTAGTTAGGAAATTTATTGCTCTCTCTGTTACTCGGCTCAGTGAGCTCAGTTTTTGTTATTCTTATATATTGTCAAATTGTGCATTTTTGCTTTAAAAAAATGATTGAATTACGTTTTTCTTATCTTCCAGTTAAGGTTTTTAAGCCTTTAGTTAATCTTCGCGCAATTTTTGTAGAATTATCTACAAACTAAAAGTAGTTTAAAATGTGGCTAAGCCTAATTATTTTATTATAGCAGCCATATTTGTTTACATTTGAAACTTAGCAGAATAGTAAATTACGTTATTTTCCGTCCCTTCAGTGTCTTTTCGACGAGTGGAACCAAACGTAAACTTTCAGTTTTGTGCACCGAAAAATCTGTTTTTTTTATTTTTAGATATTTTGAGGTTTTATGCATTTTTGCCTTACAGCGAAGTGAGAACTAAATTAATTGAATGAGAAATATATCTCTAATGAAATTCGAGGAAATAAGTTTAAATTAAATGCAGGAAAAAATGTGTATAATTTAATATTCTGTACAAGGAAGTCATGTGGCACACATGAGATTTTTTTAGTCATCAGCTTAAATATTTTCTCTGTTTTAGATCTATTTTTAGATAAATTTTTAACTCCTTTGCCAATTCTCAAAAGTAAATGTATTCTTATGGTTAACAGTAACACTCTTCGAATTTACCTGAAGATTTTCCAGTCACGGGATTATATAGCACTGAAGTTTTTACTGGTTCATTTGCGTCACCCCAGAGAGCATTGAATGTGTAGCAATTTGTGAATTCATAATCATAATACCAACTGAATCTGAAAGACATGGCAGAATTTAAAACAGTATATTATACAAAATTACTAAAAGAATCAATACAATATTATACTTTTGTTTAGAATTTTACTATTCAAAGTTATTAAAAAACTGTTGATTTGATACATAAAAAAAATGTTTTGGAACAAGAATTAATTTCAAAACTTTCTGGTAATACTTAAATTATTTTAAATAAAACTAAAGATATATTGTAAAGATAAACTAAAGATAACATTGTAGAGACATTAGGTATTTTTTGGAATCAGGAGAGATGAAAAATGAGCAACGCTTTCGCCAGAAATCGAATAGCGTACCTCTGGAATACGCGCCCAGCGTGCAGACCACCACACCACGAAGGCATCTAAGAAGACGGGAGAAATATCTTATATACCCCCCCTTTTAAAGCGGGACTGGGGATTTAGGAGACCCAGTTGCCAAATCCTGGGTGTGTCCTGGGGTCATCACCCAACATCCTTTTAGTTCGGGCGCCAGTGTAGAGACATTAGGTATTTTTTGAAAGCAGGAACGATGCAAAATTAGCAACGCCTTCGCCGGGAATCGAACCGCGGAACTCTGGAATACGCGCCCAGCGTGCAGACCACCACACCACGAAGGCATGCTAGGAAGGCGGGAGAAATACCTTATAACATTTACGATTTATGAGTTACTAAAGGTTAGCATAACGTAATTTGTTTTTCTGTACGACTTAATTCGTCACGTTACTCACTCAGCCAGTGCAAAGGTTATGCAAAACTTATAACAAGTGGCATAGGTTAAAACTAAGATGTCATTTGTACCGGAGCTAAGCGGAGTTCAATACTTTTAGGAATTTCAGAGGTAGCTCAAGAAATCTTATTTAGTTTTCGAACAATTTTCACTTTAATTCTTCTATCCTGTCTTTTTCTCAACTCGATCACATCTCCAGTTTCGAAATAACTTGAGAATATGTAAATTGAGCAAATAGATTACTGGAACGTTGTGCTGCGATGATTAATAGAGCAAAATCTCTCATAAAGCAGTTTTGTATAACTTCATTGCATTCAGAAAGAAACTCTGAGTTTTCCAAAAGAGGGAAAATATGTATTGTTATACTAAAACAGGTAATCTCAAACCTTTAATTTTATTTAGTTTTCATTCAAGTTATTGATGGCTTAGAAACTTCAAATTATATCAAAATATACAAGTAACAGCTATTCGTGGAGAAAAATTGCCAGCGCTTTTAGAGAATGCTATACTAGAGAAGAATTATTATTTTAGAGAAGCACTTTCGTTAAATGAAAAGGTTAACGAATCTTTCGTTCTCGAAAAACATTCGCGAAATGTAATTTGCCAGGATTTGGCGATTGGGTCCCCTAAACCCCAGTAGCATTTTAAAAAGAGGAGTATATGAGGTATTTCTCACGCCTTTCTCAGCGTGCCTTCGGGTTGTAGTGTTCTGCATGCTGGGCGCGTATTCCAGAGATCCGTGGTTCGATTCCCGGCGAGGGCATTGCTCATTTTTCATCTTTCCTGCTTTCAAAAATTACCTAATGTCTCTACAAGCATATAAAAAATATCGTCTTTGAAGCTAAACAAAATTAAGCTTTTTCGTGATGAAATTAAAAATATATATAGTTAATTAAGTTGCTATTTTTATAAAATACTTTTATGGATTTTAAAGGGATAGAAGCGGACAGGTCGTTAGTGATGCTTGAATTGCGCAGTGCCAATATGGGCGAAATTTTGTATTATTTGTCCGTTTATCTGAACTGAGATATAGATACTGAAAGACAAAAGAAAACATGTTCCACTAAGAATAGGGAAAATGTATTGATACGCTTGGTGCAATACTGTTTATATCATTATCTAGAGTTTACCTGTACCTTGCGTGGAACTGAACTCGAGATGTTCAAATTACGGGATCAATATTCACACCACCACAACGTAAGGAACGCCGTTACGTTTTACAACTTTAATTGAAGTTGAATCTCTGAAGACTTCTCTGCTATAACTCTTCTGCTTTAATTAGTTATACACTGGATATTTATATTAATACACTTTTTCAGTTAACAATAATTAATCTTCTCTAAATTATCACAGATATCACATAACCCTAATCCAAAAAAAAAAGTGCAACAACCTAACATGACATGTTTGAGAGCTAAAAGAAACAAAATGGTGTTGGAATAGTTTCATTTCACGGCTTCATTCAAGAAATGCGCGACTTCAGAATCCCGTGGTGTCATTTCCAGTTGAGCCAATGGAGAAGTACCCATATCATATTCTCAGTGATAAGTACTATCTCTTTCCAAGACTGCCAAACTAGAAATCCATCGATTTCTTTTTACGGGGTCACGCGAAATCGTTTGTATAGTAGGACTCTTTGAATTCTAAATTTCATCGTGCGCATTCAGTTAGCCTTTCACAATGTCCATGTTATCTTAATGGTTCATTAATAAATTAATACGAATCGTAATAAAGTAATATGTATCGAATATGTCACTGCACCTAGTACAGAAGGAATCATATTTTGTTCAATGATATGTGCACATCTTTCATTAACCAGTGATTCACGGGATTTCATATATTTGCTGATCGACTATTCGCACTTTCAAATAATCACTGACAGACACGAACACATCTCCTGAATGACTTTTACCACTTACCTTCGTTTATCCCATATTCATTCGGTTTCCCGCCCGTATTAGTACTGTTAACATTCGCAAATGTTCAGCCGTCTCTCTGTATACGCATGTTCCACATATTTTATACAAGATTTCCCAATAGCATATAACCTGAACGACGTAATACATCGATACCATTTGAACGACATTTTGTTTCTTCTAACTCCCATATATACCATGTAACGTAGTCAAACTTTTTCGGGACTCTCAGTAACAATTTAATAATTTATTTTTCCATATTTTTAAAAAACCATTTTGTAAAGCAAATCATTGTTAAAAAAGACGTCATTCTTTGTGTTTGTGTCTCTCTTTATTTCCTTTTTTCATACATGAGTCATAATTTTATAATAGTATTTTTTGTAATAAACTATTTTATACAATACACTTTATAAATCTGTAAAAGCATAATGATATCCATGAATGTTTACAATGATATTCTGTGCTAAACTTACTGTTGAGTAACAACTTCTTCTTCGTATTCCGCATAAATTACAAAATCTTCAAATCTAATTCCTAGTCGGATTCTGTCTTCCCTAGTGAGACTGTCGTACAGAATTGCCTGACGTTTTGAAAGATCCTGTAAAACAAATAAAATATCTCGAAAACAAACGCAGTTGACTCTTTGACATTATGAAATTAAACTTTTTCCCTAACAAGCAAAGCCGTAGCCTGCTGTTAGCTTAGATTATTAAGTACGTTTTTGCAAGACAAGCTCAAAACTTCATTTTCCCCCTAAAAGACGGTAACCATTATAATGTACTCTGCCTTGGTTTCAGGTACAGGTGTTCAGAGTGGACACTAGATCATCAAAGCCTAGTAACCCTGCTCGCAACTCATCTGTTCACCAAAGTTCATAACTCACCTTTATGAGTCTCTGTGCCTTTCCTTATAGGTGAGTTACGAACCATAGAAATATTAACAAAGAAGAGCTTCCTTGCGTTCCAACACAGCTAATGCCTCCCTTAGGAATTTGGAAATCAACTCCCAAATCCATCCCTCAACAGGTCTGAATGTCAGCAAATAACTAAGATTCATTTTTACTACTTCTGTTATATGTTTGTAATGTTTATCAAAGCAGAAGAAAAGAGGAAGTATTCCGATACAAAACATTCTGATACAACTCAAACTGAGTTTTCATGCAGCTGTTAAACTACAGCTGCATGAAGGAGAAATTTTTGATGAATGAATCTTGAACTGAAATTTAAACATTTTCGATTTTTTTTAAATTTGTACTTTAACTATCCCTAAGGAAATATTTTTAAAACGTTTATTGCTTTCATTTTGTTAACTGGCATTCTAGCGAACATACAAAGCATTGCCGCTTGACGGAAAGATTTGTTGCAAACTTTCTGCGTAAACAATCTAGAGAGGTGTCCGCCGATAACATCGCGGCAAAAACATCGCGGACGAAAACGTCGCGGAGAAAACAACGCAATGCGAAAACGTCGTGCTACAAAACATCGAGGGAGAAAACATCGCAAAGAGAAAACATCGCAGTTCTAAAACATCGCGGTACAAAATTATCGTTGTCGAAAATAAAGCAGTTCAAAAACTTCGCAGTTTAAAAACATCGTCGTCTAAAATATCGTGTTAAAAAATAAAGTATCTACAAATCATCGCATGACGATAACATCGCAGATATGCTTTTTTCAGGTTTTAATAATTGTAAATGGATATTCCCATAATGATTTGTGAGCGCAAGATGTAAAGAAGGATAATTTTTACTTTCAAATTTTTTTTTACTAACTAAATTTTTTCTGAAAAAGTAAGAAGGAAACTTAAGCATAGAAAACTAAATGCAACTTATAGATTATACTTTTCATGAAAAATTACCAGTGAAAACTTTACAAAAAATTATTTATAAATGGCCTTTGTTAGTTAACTATGTAGGTTTAAAATTCTATTCAATGCTATAAGTTGCATAATTTCTATGCTTAAGTTTCTTTTTATTTTCTCAGCAAAAATTATTGATTAATAAAAAATATGAAAGTAAAATATCCTTCTTTCCATCTTGTGCTCACAAATCATTACGGAATATCCATGTATAGTTATTAAGCCTGAAAAAAGCATGTTTGCGATGTTATCGTCATGCGATAATTTGTAGATACTTTATTTTTTACCACGATATTTTCGACGACGATATTTTTAAACTGCGAAGTTTTTGAAGCGCTTTATTTTCGACGACGATGTTTTGTACCACGATGTTTTCTCTTTGCGATGTTTTCTCCCACGATGTTTTGTAGCACGACGTTTTCGCCTTGCATTGTTTTCTCCGCGACGTTTTCGTCTGCGATGTTTTCGGCTGTAACCATCTAGAGAAATTATTTCACAGTTATATCCTACAAAATTGTGTCCTTTTCGTATTAAATTAGCGTTTAAATCTTCACATAGCTTTAATTTGCGATTAAATAATATCATAATAAGTCTTTTTGCCTACCATTTCAAAATATTATTTTTAATAGCTCGTTTTAAATATATTATTTTAGGTTCAATATCTTGAATTTCTAAGAAATTAATTTTTAAACAAGTAGGCAGTCGTAACTGTTTAGCTTAGGTTAATATTTTATTAAAATGGAATCTGCATATGAAGTTTCGAATAAAAAATTTGAAAAATATAAAAATTATAAACTTAAAATTTTTCATAAGTTTGTAAACTTGTTTAATATTTTTTTAGCTTTTCAAAACTTTCATCGTAAACTCTTTGAAATGTTAGATTATAGTTCAGAATTTCAGATCTTAAAACAAAATGTGTAAATAAAGTCACATGAGCGAGCAGGAAGCCAAATACAATGACAAAATAATTAACATCAAATAGCTATGAGATGAAATATACAGAAAGCGTTTGCTATCAGCTGAAGACGACGTAACAATGAGAAAGTATAATATTATATACGTTAATATAAAATATAAAATTATGTTAATATAAAATATAAAATGTGCCGGCATAAAAGCTTTAAAGACACATGTAGAGCTTAATCAGGATATAAGAATTCTTCATTGAAGGAATTAATCCAAATATGTAACAGTGTAAAGCCTTAATCTTTTTTCTGTTGAACATGAGAGTAGCGTTAACGCTGCAATATTTCAACACTTAATAATGTGTAAAAATGTAAACTTCAGGACAATAAATGTTGAATTTATCCCAAAATGTTTAAGCTCTAACGCTCTGCGATTAGAGTTGGATACTACCACTAAATTTAATACCTTTGTTTTTTAACATAGTAAAAAATGTATCGAAAATAAGAAAACCAAAACCTTTTTTCATTTTGCAATGTTTTAACATAAATTATAATATCTTATTATTTATTCTCTTAACTGGCTTTATCCAAACTATAATAATCTTTATACATCTTCTTTGTGAAAAGTAACTTATTTTTATGCAAAGTCGCTACCAAATTTGCAGTAAATGAAGAATTCTCTTTATTTATTTAAATTTCAATAATTCTCAATACTTTCTAAATTAAATTTATACTTTTTATAATATAACTGTTTAAATTATTTTAATAATTTTTGGATAGCCGTCCTTGCACTTTGGTTTCATTAATAAATTAGTGCTACATAGTGCAAAATTACCAATAAGCAATTCAGTAGAATACGTTTTCATACGATCTTTTTTAAGTGATCAGTTTAGGCATTAAATTCATTTCACCTGATTCTTAGTAGTCATTCAAAATTTTCAGGTATCGCTTACATCTGAAATCTGCAAGTGGTATCTTGAGGAATTAGGAAGTTGGTGAATGTGATAGAAGGGATGCGTTTAAAGAAATGACTTTTCATGAGTACAGTGAAACATCGAATCAGGAGCAAATTGTTTGAACAAAAAATGCCTCGAATGACGAATAGATCTCGAATTACAAGCACTCAAATCAGTAACTTCAGATTTTTAGAAGTATTTTGGTATATAACTTATATGGTATTTTGGTATGGTAACTTATACCACAAAATTAACACTCAGAGACTTCTGAAACCATCCCGTTAATATGTTCTATTGCTTAACTCTCGTTAACAAATCTTGGCAACAAGTGGCTTAATGGATCCTGCTTGGAAGAAATTACGGCCAGATTAGGTTGCAGCATTAACATTTAGGATTTTTTGTTATCTGTGATATTGTGTCTCTAGACAAATACAGGTGCTAGGTGGTTTAACACTGAAAGCATGAAGAATTTTCTAAATGACCATAAAAATGAGCTCATCATGAAAGAATTATAACAATTCTGAAGGAGCAACAGCCTAATCTGGCAACATTGTGGAAGAAATCTTTTCAGAAGAAGAAACCCTAGTTCTTGGACCCACGAAATGATCCTAGTTCTCTGATCCGCGAAATGGAAAATGGGTTAAGATGCAATATTTTCATGTAAAAAATCGCTATGATAAAACAGTGACAATCTACAGCGGAAGCATTTTCAAAGAAAATTGCATGTATCATTTACAAACATGTTAATGCGTAACATTTACAAACATAATTCATATTATACAAATTTTGCGTGAAACAGAAGTCCATGTGCCTCATTCAGGGCTTATAAACAAAGAAAGTGTAACAGAAGATGCTAAGATGCTTTCTAAAGAATATTACCTGATGTTTTTATGGAAAGAAAACTCATATCCAAACAACACCAACTTCCTCATCATATTCCACTTATGCCATCCACTCCCTTTCGTACAGATACAGTAAAATTAAATTTTCATCTGTTTCACCTGCTTAATATCGCGCTTATCCTTTTTGTTTTTCCCTCTGGTTTTGGATTGTGAACTTGTGCACAAAGTACTATAGTAAAGTTTAAATAAACAATCATATGTGATCCAAGAACGAATCACGAACGGTTTTCAAGAAAATATTAATAAAAATATATTATTAACATTTGAAGCTTTTTAAATATCTCATCAAATATACTTACTGGTAGTGATTCATTTGACTTTCGAATGCAAGCAGAAATATCTTCTTTGCACCATAGCTTATAACGTATCCTAGAAGGACAGAAATTATAATTCGTCTTCTTGAAAGAGTTGCGCTGATAGTTTCTGAAGATAAAATTTGAATGAACCTCCAGAATAAAATTTAAAAAGAAAAGTTTATCACGGATTTATACATATCCTTTGAAATACATTCGTAAGTGAATATTCACATGTGTGCATTCTGGTTTAATTGTAATCGTCGTAAAATCATTGTACAATATGATACGAATTCCGAAGTATCAGTTCGTTGTCAATTGGTCTAATTATCAACACTTTAATTTTACTGAGACAGAAAGATAAAAAGATATAAAATGGTAACACTTCCAACACAAAATACTATATTTTTCTTCAGTGTTAAAATAATGGGTATTGTTAACATCTATATATGCTAGAGCATTTTAAGAAGCCTTCTAAACGATATTCAAGTACATGCATTCCTTTGCCATTATTCACACTAAACCATGATTTCGCCGCCTGTATGTTTCTATGTATTACAGAAGGAGTATAGTTTATCTCTGACACTGTCCAGGTAAATAAACGTCTAGAATTCCTTTCCAAACAAAATCTTGATTTGTTTGTGACAATTTGTGAAATTTTCCTACAGTTAAGATACTCTCTACATCATTTTAAACGAGCACTTCTTGCACTGCAGCAAAAGGAACACAAAGTATAAATATTGTCGCTGATGTTGTCTCAAATGCGGTCAAGAAAAGGAGAATAACGTAATTACGAATGGAAAAGTAAACGAGTGTTGTAGTGGCCTTAAGAAGAGATATTTTTGAAAGAAAGTTGTTTTTAGTTCTCGTTGAGTCTCAATATATCAAGAAAGAAATAACAAACTTCCTTAATTCATATTTTTCTTTTTAATTAAGCAGACAGCTTAACACCAGAGGTGATCTCGGTAAAAACTAGAGTTACAGAGAGAGCTTGCTCTTTACTGTAAATCAATAATTGCTAAAAAGTGTACATGGATGCACATGTAACCAAAACGGAGACAAATTAAATAGGACTTGAAGAGTATTCAAGTGTTCTTTTTCTTTTATTTATTATTAAACAGCTTTATAATATTAGTATTAATATTTGTATCTATTATTAATAACATATATCTACTTATAATTGAGAATTCAGTTGTAATTATGTATATTTATTTATTAACATTTCATTATTACATTATTTTCATCTAGGAATTTCCTGCTAAATTGTTTCCCCCCCAACCACATATAAATGTAGGTCACGAGGCTGAAAAGCTCGGGAAAAACTGCTATAAAAAATTAATGCGATCCAATTCCAGTTCAACAACACTAATTAGCGCTGTAATTGTACATGAAAAGTTTACTAGTTTTTAAAGAGCTTCGCACCATCTAACGTAAAATTAATTACTTAATTATTTTAAGAATAAGGAGGGTTTGCATGTTTATTTCATTGAATATGGCAAATCAATGAGGGTTAGTTGACAAAGGCATATTTTTGTGGAAAATATTTGAAGTAAAATAGGCTTGCCTAAAACATTTACATTACAAAAGAAAAAATTTACGTTACTTAAGGAACAAAATTTACGTTACACGTAAAGAAAATCGCGAAATTTTAAACAAAGTAGTAAGCTGCAGACCATTCGTACAATTCTTTTGTTAAATTTGCCTCTCATTTCCAAGCCCCTTATTCTTTTTGTTTGCTAGTTCATTTATTCAAAGATAAACATATGTTACTTATCGAAATTCGTACGTTAGTCTGAACGACCTTTAAACTCGACTAAAATTATTTCTGGGACAAGAAGAGTATTTTTGACTATGCAACCTATTTTAGACTTAGCAACGCTATACTTAAACGGAAAAATTTAAGAAAATTTAATCCTAGACCTTAGGTAAAAAAAGTTTTTTTAAAATCAGCGCTCGGCTTAGATCTTCCTAGAAGATCAACTGATGTGAAAAAAAATAATAATAATGTGCTGCGGTTTGTGGGATTCCGAGTCCTCTAGGTGCAGTTTCTTTCTCTAGCATTTAATCATCCTGTATGTATCTGTAACTACTACAGTACGTATTTCTTATGCATGCAATAGGGCTTGAAAAAATATTTGGTCAAGGTACTTAAATACTTTTTTGCAAGTAAACATTGGAACAGAATGACTATCAGCTCGTCATAGGTATCTATTCTCATCAACAAATGATAACATTATGGGTTCAAATGCCATTTATATTCTTTAATATTATTAATTAAATTTTCTCAAATATCAGCAAGTAATCAATTTTATTTCTTTTATTCTTTCATATTATATTAGTTTATTGCTTATCAATACAAAAACTGATCTAAATAAAAAATAAGCTTTTTAATAATAATGTGTATAAGCATCAAGATTAAAGTATTTAAAACAACTGTTTTTACTAATAGTTCTGCAAATATTTACACCATTAATGTAATTAATGCAAATCATTTTAAATCAAAATATAATTCGCAATCGGAGAATTACAGTTAAGAATAATGGCTGCATTGCTCTGATCATATTGGAATAATTAAAAGATTAAATCTGATAATGTCTTAAAATGATTTTGCAATGGGAAAAACAAAAATATAACTCATAAGTACTTCGATTAACCTTTCTTTTCTTTGCAAGTGCTGAACATCTGTTTGCCATGCAATTGATCAAATAATGAATAAGTGTTTCATCCAGATGATAATATTAAGCACTGATTAATATTTCCCATAACTTAATTTTAATTAAGGTTTCCTATCAGCAACCCCCTTAATTTTCAGTCTCATCTTTTTAGGTCAGGATGTGAGCATGACCAGGAATATAGGCCAGGATATGAGCATGACCTTTAAACAATGGGACATTTTTGAGGCAGTGTGACATGACAATGCCTAATAATAAAATTCTTAGCATCGCTAAGAAGAATCATTTTCTGGATACCTATATTGAGGTATTACCAGAGATGCTATATTTGCAAGTTACGAGTACGAATAATGTACATGTACACAGCCCCTTAAAAAAAAAAAAAAAAAAAAAAAAAAAAAAAGAGTCTGAAATGTTTCAGGTTTTAATTACGTCCAAAGGAGGCGTTTTTTTTAAACATTTTGTGTGTTACCTTTATTTATTAAATATCACGTTCTTTGCACTTAAATCTTGAACCATAAAACTCAGTTCAACAACAATACCGCAAAATAGTTTTAAAATGAGCATATCTTTAGAATTTCCGAGAGACTCACGCGCTGGAGATAAAAATGTTTTTTCTGTACAACGTTGCCATTGCTCGCTTTGAAAACCTTGAGTTTGTTAATCAAAAATTCGTTAAGGTTTTAAAAAATAGGAAATCGACAATAAAACAAATTCCAAATTTCAAATTTGGTCTTCCACATACCCATATTCGTAGGAGGATTACGTCATTCAAAATTCGATGGCTCTAGGTACCATTGTTTTATCACAATGAGAGAAATATACATATATTTATGCAGAATTTTCATTATTTAATTTCTTTAAATATAGAACAGGGCGTTAATACTTTGTGGCAACAGTTTGAAAAGTGATTCGCCGTTTGTAGTGAATCGACGCAAAATCGCAAAACGAAAACAGTAGTCCTTCAGGGACAAAGCCCCTTTGGACTTAAAGGAAAATGGAACAGTTCTATATCTCCGGTTCTCCTACTGGGCGGATTGACGAAATTCATTGACTTGCATTTTTTATGTCTCGAAACGCTTGACTTAGGATATGTATTAGATTTATGTATAGCATTGTTCTAATATAGATATTTTGACACAAAATCGGACTTTTCTGAAATGACATACCAATTGTTTTTCATGTTTCGATTCTACGACTCAAATTATGCCAAACAGCAGAATTTTGTAAAAAATCGCACGAGTAGTTTTAAAAAAATTAGCTCTCAAAATTTTAGCTCCTCAATGTTAATTTAATTGGATATATATTTATTGAAATCTCTTTTTTTTTTTATTAAACTTACTTTATTCCTTCTTCCAGAATTCAAAATTTAAGCTTAACTGAAGCAATGTTCGGGCGAAAAAGTATCAGAAGGGGAGAAAGAACCATCAATAGGAGCGCTAATTGTTATTTGTTTTTGAGGAAAGGCATTTTGGGCCGAAACATCATTTGGGCGAAAAGGCATATACACGTTTTAGAATAAATGTTCTCAACCAGGCCCGAAATCTCCCACTCTATTTGAGAGGAAGATTTCGAGTTTCCAGGGGAATGCGGACAGGCTTTAAGTTAGCTCTGAAGTATTTAGTTTCAGTATATGAACATATTTAAAAAATTTCTGTGCTTAAATTTTGATACTTATCAATAAATTTGGTACTTATCAAAATTTTTCTATATTTTTTGTTGTTTAATTTATAAAACACGTTAAAAAATAATCTGAATCTAATTAAATGTGTACATGTGTTTTTTGAGTTTTGGAAAAGAAGGGGGAGATGATCTTCTAACAATGGTGAAAGGGGTAGTTGGAGAAGTACTGCTTTAGAGCGTTAACTGGATACCCGTACTGATTCTATTCGGCTTCTTTTCTTCCAACCATCTGTTATTTTTTTAGTTATTTAAATGCTTTCATGCTGTTTCAGACATGCAGTAGTCAAAATTTATTCTGGCATACAACGGAGTGGCGGGAATTTTAATTTCAATCTTCTGCTGCGCGCTCAGCTTTGCATTTTTATATTGCAGGAAATTAGGCAACAAGCAGTTGCTCGATGCTGAGTATTTTATTTAGATTGCAAAAGAGATTTTCAATTCCGTAATTCTCCCTCGACGTTATGAGTCTTTGCAACGTCTCGTTCGAAACGACGGCAAATTAAAATCCTATAATTCACATTATTTCTCCAGTGTTTAAATGCTGAAACACAGCAGTGAAATTCAACTCTCATGTTGTTGTTGTAATTGCCTATCTCACTTGTCTGGCAAAGGTCAGACCAAGGCCACGACATTTATCGTGACAAGATGTCAAATACGCTTGTCATTGGCAACAGCCTTGAGCACCATATAGTTTACAGACCGACTTTAGCTAAGTTCCGTGCCCCATTTTGAGAGACAGGTGACGGAGGACGGGGACGCCTGAAGTTTAACAGAGGTTAACAGGCATATGTCCCGCGTCCTCCCCTGAAGTTTATTTAATAGTTATAAGTGTGGATACATGGCCATACAGGGGCAACTGTTTAACATCTGGCATTTGAAGTACATTTGAATTAACATACAGGCACGGTTAAAAAAAAAAAAAAAAAAAAAACACTTAATAGATTATAACAAAAAAGAAAATTAAACACCTAAAAATGGTGTTCAATTTTCTTCTGCTCCCTATGCAGTCAGAGATTAGATGGTAGAGCATTAGAGTGCATATGTCAGTGCAAGTAATGCATGTAAGCCCTATTACTCTGGTTGACAGAGGTCCTGGCCATATGCTGCAATGGTGGTTATTATTTTGCAGATTTTATTTATGGCCGCTCTGTTTTTGGCTAGGAACTTGTGAAATGCTGAGATATTGGCTGGTATCGGGAAGTGGAACTGTTCCGTGAGTGGGCACTGAAAGATATAATGGTCCGGTGACCCCTCACCCCCGCAAACACAGCGATCCGTGGTTGAGATGGTGCGGCGGTAGAAGTAATCCGGGAAGGGACCATGACCAGTAATGAAGTTGGTAAGGGGAGCAATTGCCATAAGGCGCTCCGTGGTTACTTTTGGCAAGAAGCTATGCGCTCTCCTTCCCGTGTCGCCCTGATCCCATTCTCTTTGCCACCACTGGATAGCGGCATTTCGCAGTTGACTTTTGAGGAAAGATGGTGGTGCTGATACTGATATCGGTCTGGCATTTTGGTTCGAAGCAGCCTCTTTAGCGAGTTCATCCGCTGTCTCATTACCCATGTTACCTGCATGGGCTTTAATCCATACTTTATACATATATATAATACATACTAGGTCAACATGTGCGTGCCGATTATCTTTTAGGATATGCTGCAGTCGTATGATCAGCGGGGAGGCGTGAATATGTTTGTCAAGAGCAACCAGTGTCGACATACTGTCTGTATAAAGCTGCACATGTGTGATGTTGTTGAGCGCCACGTATTCAATGGCAGCTGTTATGGCAACTACTTCTGCTTGAAAAATGCTATTATTTGGATTGAGGTACCCTTTCCAATGGTGTGCAGCATGGCCTTGCCTGTAGTATATAAAGGCACTACCTACACCCTCAGCAGTTTTCGAGCCATCTGTGTGTAGAACGCGTGCATATTAGGGTTTCCTTCTGGTTGACTTCGTGACGGTTTGAGGATAGTGTGAATGCCAAGTCCCTTGTGTGCTGGGTGCGTGTGGAGAGGAGTACATGGATGTTCGTAATTTGCAGGGCTATGTAAGGTGCCTGCAAAGGTTGCGTCTTTCTGTAGATGTATTATTTTAGTATATGTGGCCTCTAGCTCCGCTTGGATATGAAGTGGTATGATGCCTGCCAAGGTGAGTGCTGCATAAGTTGCAGTGGTGCGGTAGGCTCTGCATAAGCCTATGGCGAATGGGCGCTGTAGTGATAGGAGTTGCTTAACCTTGCGTGCGGTCATGGGTTGTGCCCATATAGCTGCCGCATAGAGTGCCACCTTCTCAGCTACAGTTTTATAAAGTACCTTTTGAATGTGGGGATTCCGTCCCCAGTTCCGGCCTTGGAATTGTCGTGATCTCCTGGCAATTGCAGATGTTTTAATCTTTTGTGCCTGGATATGCGGAAGCCAAGTCAGACCTGGGTCCCATATTACCCCAAGGTATCTTAAAGTTTTTACGACCTTAATATTCCGGCCTTGTAGTTTGATACATGGGCTACGTGTTGGATTTGTACCCTTTCTTGGAAAGATGATAGCAGTGGACTTTGTGGTGGATATTTTGAGTTTTAGCTCTTCGCAGAGGTTGGCAAAGATAGTGCATGACTCACTGCCATGGGCTTCAAGCTCAGCGCGTGTGCGGCCTCTGACCAGTAATGCCGCGTCGTCCGCGTATGCAACTAACACAGTATGTTGTGGCCACATTGCCTCTAAGACTTTATTAAAGGTGAGGTTCCATAGCAGAGGCCCTGCACAGGACCCCTGTGGACATCCTCTCACTTGTGTTATTGAGACAGTACTACTGTTGTTAGAGATCATCAGTTGCCGGTCTGCCAGATAGTTGTCCAGAACTTGATAGATATTTCTTGGGCATCTTGCTCTCTGAGGGCCTGCCTGATGGCAGGCCACCAGAGGGTATCGAACGCACTTTGCAAATCTATCGATATAAAAGCCGTCTGGTAGCCCTGCGATTTGTTCTGAATTATGACTTCATGGATTCGCTGCAGGGCATGAAGTGGTAGAACTGCCTTGTTTGAAGCCAAATTGTCTTGGGCTAATGCTTTGGTATTGATGTAGATGAAATTTTAGCCTGTTGACGATGAGCTTCTCGTAAATCTTTCCCATCGCCGACAGAAGGCAAATTGGCCTAAAGGAACTCGATACTAGGGGGTCTTTATCCTTTTTTAAAAATAATACCACATTGCCTTTTTTGAAAGCTGTGGGGAATATTTTATAATGCAGAAGCTGGTTGTAGTATTTATGGAAGTAGGATGGTCGTGCCTGATATGCAACTTTGATAATTGCGTAATCGAGTCCGTCTGGACCCGGGGCCCTTTTTTTAGTGGCAGATACCGGAAGATATTACGTATCTCCTGTGCAGAAAACTGTATATCGTTCGGTGTGCATGGCGAGCTTGTATCTTCTCTAATTTGCCTCTGTTCTGAAGTATCTGCTTGTGTATCATCTGTGGGAAAGATAGCATTTAAAAGTTCCTTGGCGGTGGAGGCCGCTACGTCCATAGTATGTGGTGCTGTTGGTTGAACTGGTACTTGCGCTGGTTGGAAGATCTTCTGCGTTGCCAGTTTGTGTAAAATTCCATATGGATTACTGTTACTGGTGCAGAAAGATCTCCAGCTGTTAATTTTAGCTTCAAGAATTGCTTTCTTGTAGGCGGCCCTTTCTTGCCGAAAGGCCGTAAGGATGTTGGAAGCTACAATTTCGTTGGTAGCAGATCTGAGGCGGCGGCGCAGAGCTCTGCACCTCTGTTTCATCTCTCTCTCAGTCTTCCCGTCCACCAGGATATGCCTTGGAGTTTTTTGGCGGTCCTTGTAGGGAGGATCTGCTGACATATTTGTCTGAGTAATGACAGAATGTGGTCTGTGTAATCATCCAGTTCTTGGGGGTTGGTAAGCTCTTCTAGTATGTCTTCTTCTCTGATGAGCAGCTCCTGAAAGGCATTCTTCAGTCGTCGTATCTTTCCGCCCGGTAGTTTGAATCTCTGGAGGATATTAATGCTGGCTTCAAGTGTTAGTGTGAAGTGGATGTATCGATGATCTGAGTTACTCTCATCATCTAGAACATCCCATGAGCTAAAGTTGTTGGCAAAATTAGCAGTTGAGAGTGTAAGATCAGGCCATCCTTTATGATAGGTATTGTCATAGGTTGGTTGTGCCCCTTGACTATTATGTAAATGTAGATCGTGACAGGCCATAAAGTCTTCCATGTCTCGCCCTTTAGGCGTTGTGTCTTGGTAGCCCCATATATATTATGTGCATTGAAATCTCCTCCAACGACGTGAGGTACTGTTGGGCATTTCTGTTTCACTCGTATAAAGTTGCAAGTCACATCCGTAAGACCTTCCGTGGGCGGGGAGTAGACGGAGGTTAGGAGGAATTGCTGCTCTTCAAAGATGACTAGAATAGTAACGAAGTCTCTTTCTGTGGTTACTACGTATGGAGACCAGGAGGGGTTGCAGCAGACAATGGCTGCCCGTGGTGCTTGTTCTGCATTGGCTTTCTTCTGAAAAATTTTCCATGCACGTGGTAGGCTTGCCACTTGGCCCTCGCGACAATAAGGTTCTTGAATGATCAAGAAATCTAAGTTATATTGAATAGCATGCTGGACTACCTGTGGTCGCGGCTACCTCCCGTTGTAAGTTAATTTGTGTGCACTTTATCTGTGCTTGATTAGAATTAGCTTCCGCACTTGAAGTTTCTTGGGTTGGCCCGCGTATCGCTTGTTCTGTTGTCGTGCTGTTCGGCTCTTGTTCATTATTCATAGAGACTTCTGACGCGTTCGATGAATCGTCCATACGTTGGGCAGTTGGTATCATAGGTCGGATGGTTGCATGGCATTGTGCTGCGCGTTTTATAGTTGGCGTCTGAACAGTTGATGCATGTTGGCCTGCTGGCGTGACAGTCCTTAACACTGTGACTTCCAGAGCAATGGTCTCCCAAAGCTCTGCCCCTGCCACTAACTTCTAGAGAGGTCTTTCGGCTCGCCGCATATTTAGAAAGCCAGCATGCCGCACAGACACACTGTACATTTACAAACAAACATGCCTTTTCCGTCATTCGAACTCGGTCCCTTGAGTAAGACAATTAGCGTCGCTAACCACATTCCCGGTTGGGAGGCTTTCAGCTCTCATCATTCCATTACATGAGCTTTTAGGAATATCTTTTCGAAAGTCTGAACTCTGCAGTTATGCATTAAAATTGCAATTCCATCAGAAATGAACACAGATTGATCCCAGCTGCGTAATATTTATTGGCTTTAAATTACTCGTAAAATAATATCATATAGTATGTATGTGTAAAAGATAGAGACTTATATCAAATATAAAATTAGGCAAAACCAACTTTAGTCGGAGATATTTTTATTTTAAAAAACAATCTTTTTTTTTTTTTTTTTTTTTTTTTTTTTTTTTTTTTTTTTTACGAAATTTCCTTTTGAGAAAAGAAAACATTCTGCTGCCCTGAAGGCTAGAGTAAAAGTTAAGTAAATAAGCGAAATAAATTGAACAAAAATCGTCTTATTTATCGAGAAAAAACAAAATTAAATGAAAAAGTTAAAAATAAGATATTATAATTTTAAAATCTTTTGCAAAGTCTGGATTGAATTTAAAAATTAGCTAAAATAAGGTTACTTTTGTGGATATTTATTACTTCAAAGAAACCTGATACGTCATCTGAAGAATTTTTCCGATAATTTTAACCACTGTAATGAAAAGCATAAAAGAATTAAATTGCTTAACTATTGAAGCTATATTTATTTTCTTTTGACCCAGAATTCCTAGATTAGTGCTGCCTTAGTTTGCGACAGTGATAAGGAACGGTACAAATTCTTCAAAAATTAAAACCAGAAACAGGATCACAAGGGTTTATAACATAACAAAGGTTTTTATTGGAAAAGACTTCAGAATTAAATTTGTAAAAACATCGAGCAATTTTCTGCTAAACATAAGATGACAATACGATTATGGAGGCTGTTAATATATGAGACATGATGACATGGAGAAATTTATGAAATCTTTATGAATAACAAACAGTAAGAGAAAAGCTTAAAACAAGAGCAAGAGCTTTCAAATAACTGTTTCTAAGCAAAAAAAAAAAAATTATGAAGAAGCACAATAAACCTAAGAATAAAAAAGAGGTCATTTTAGTTTTTGCTTGCAGACGAGGCCAAATTTAACAAATTAATTAAAATTAAGCAAACAGAAAAGGATTTTGATAAACAATAATGTTGAAATTAAGTTACAGTTAGAATGTCAAGGCAAAGACAAGCCTTCACAGATTCGATTTCAAACATGAACTGAATAATTGGAACGACAGCATTTCTAACAAATGAATTATTTCTTGAATTAATTTTATTGTAATAAAAAGTACTAAAATGTCATCAACACAGCAAACCCAAAATGTGAAAGACATTTTTAAACAATTTAACCTCAAAGTCGTGCTCGCATATATCAGCAAATACTGAATTAAAGCGTCTGCCCATAGCCAGTCCTTCGGTTTAGAGATAATAACTGCTTAGGAAAACTACCTGAGGGTTGATTTAAAGAAGATAAGTGAGAGAGATTAATAACAGAGATTAATTCTTTAATTTCGGTATTAATGAAATGCAGTTATTAGAGTTTGATTTCAATTAGAATATTTGTAAAAAGCAATTTAAAATAAAACAAAATTTTAATTGAAATTTACGGAAGAAATATTCTTGAATTTTTTCATAACTTCAAATCAATATTTTAACAGCATAAGTGCTCGTGAAACGTAATATAAAATACTTAACGCCCACGAATTCGGGTGAAAGATATGATGCAGTTCTTAAGCAAGGGCTACTGAAATGCCGTCTTTGGGAACAGAATAAAATTTAACACTATTAGCGATTGAGGGACTGAGTTTTTTTAATTAGAAATTCATATTAGGTTTATTTTAATACATACTTCTAGTCCTTCAAAAGAATAATGACAGACGTGTTAACTATGGGGTTAGTATATTGACTGTAAGAAAACTAAATAGCATTAAATGATTGAGGTATAAATTTTTAAAGTTAAAATATTTTATGGCATTTAAAGGCAGTTTGGTTTCTATACTATGATTTATGTACAAGTGATTACCGAGATGTAACATTTGAAACTTTTAAATAGTGCTGGTATAATTCATACTCCCTTTTGGGCACGGTACATGTTTAGGTGTCTCCTAATGTTAAAAAAAAAGTGATTTTTTGAACAATAATACATCGGAGAAAGAGCAATCTGAAATCCTGCATTATTTTGAAGACCCAAACGAAAATTTTAAGATTTTATTTAAAAATTTTAAATTATGGTATGAATTCATATCATTTATATGTAAGTAAAAACTGCAAATGGTTCAAAATTTTCATTCATTGAAAAAGAAACTTTCAAGCTGAGTGATAACACAGACATTAAATTTGGGCATAAGGATTTAAATCTGAAATTTAATACAATGTATTATCGAAAATTTCAATGACTGAATAGAGAATGCAGAAGCATAGCCGATAGTTAATCTGTACACGATACAGGTTGTTGCTGCTTGCCATAAAGAAATGCATAAATAAATTAGAAACAAATATTTATTCCAAACTTGATATCTTATTTTTAAAATATTTTAGATAAGTCATAGGAGTATCAAGAATCGTGGATATCCCAGTGACCTCTGCTATGTATCTCAAACGTCATTAGAAGAAAATGAAATTGACTTGTTTCGCTTTCCCGCCACTAGAAACTAATTTAAGTTACAGGATTGAAACATACTTTAATCTCAATGTGTTTCCGGTAACCCATTTTATGCTGCACTTAATTTTTTTATCCAGTGGCCGAACATTTTCATGTTAAGCATTAGTTAGGAATGGCCGTACCCAATGTCATTCAATTGCTGTTTGAACTTGTTACCAGAGTGGGTATATCCAGGCACTGCATTCGCGAGAAATGGAAAAGGTCCTACAGAAATACAGTCTAGCTTTATGACAGAGATGAATTCGGGATCAACGATAATGGGACTGCCACGCTAACTACCATACAGAATAGTCGGTATTCTAAATAACATTAAATATTATATCAGTATGAAATACCATTAAAAATATTTTTAGTTTGCTGTGGTGCCGATAAACAGACTTTTTTTTTTTTTTTTTTTTTTTAAGTTTTTAACAAGAAGACGCATATGTTACCTTTTACGTAAATATTTTCCTATCATGTTAAGAGCATAAATTTTAAAATAATTATATTCATTCATATTTCAATTCATTAAAGTTAAAACAATATTCAGTATAGTTAAATTTAGAAGATTTAGAAAATTACTTACGGATTACTATTGCATACTGTAACCGCAGGAAACTCGAGCCTAACTTCATTAGCAACATTGAACTCTACGGTCGTTGGATACTGTAAATACAATCTTAGGAAAGAAAAGCATTGGTATAAACAACCTACAAAAATAAAAATAAAACCTAATAAATTCAAAACATTTTTCTGTCTATGTGGCATGGAAAAGATATTTCTAAATTGTCCTTTTTTCATCTTGTCGTTTTCAGTCTTGCAAGCTACTTGTTCCTCCTGTGAAGTGCAGTGACACTTTTCATAATTTTCTAGCTTAGGAAATGAAGTGCAGTATACTGGATGTTTTTTGTTTGAAGAATGATGATCAGAATGCTCTTCTAGTGTCTGCATTAGTCTAGACTCTGAGATGCTAGCCCTAGAATAATACATGCTATTTAATGCGCGTATTTGTTTTCGCTTCTTGTTCATGACCATCGA